GCGGCGAAGGCCCGGAGCGTGTTGCTGTTTGCAGTCCTGTCTTTTGTGCGATGCTCTCCGCAGACGGGCTCCTCGCGAAGGTCCCCTCCGCGCTCTGCCTTTCCCTTTGGACCCGGGCGATTGGCAGCAGCAGTCCGTTTCTGCACGGAAAATGGTCGGCGTGCTTACAACTGTTAAAGAAAGATCCGCTTACTGGCAGTCGGATGTTTGTGTGGGTGACCCCGGGTTCCGTTCTGGTGGGCACTGTGGGCAGCCCGGAGGCTTGCCTGTCCTCGCCCCGTTCTTGTGATGGGCAGAGATCCCTGTTTTCTTGGTGCTGACCCTTCTAACACACACACGCACACACACACACTTCCCCCAACTTCTTTCTTGTGGTCTGTCTGTAGTGAATTGCCAAGTGGCTTGGGACCCCGAAGCTTGCAAACGCGGGGCAGCCTTGCTTTTTTTGCAGCCACAGTGTTTGTGATTGGGCTGTGGGGGCTTGCCTTTCTGATGTTTGAAGATGGTCCTCACGGTAACTCCTAAGGAGACCTGGCTTTGCTATTGTCTTGCTGTGATTCGGCTCCCCGACGTTGGCCATGCTTTCTGTCGATTTCAGGCTGCAGACAGAAGTGCCTTCTATCCCAGTAAGCAGACTTAGCGGGCAGATCTGGTAGGGGCATCTTTTGGAAAGGTCTTGGCGTTAGTCTCCGTGAGTTGCTTCAGACTCATGGTGAGCCACCTCATGTAGGCAGAGGAGAGCGGTCCCAAAGGGATTTCAAGGCTGTGACCTTTGGGAAGCAGGCCACCAGGCCTCCTTGGGAGGCACCGCTTTCTGCAGCTGGTAATATACCGAGCGTTAGCCCCAGACATTGCTAGGAATGAAGCCGTTGCGGGGTCCGCTTTCATTTAGGAAATTGTGTCATCAGAATTGTCAAAGCTGCAGGAAGACAGCAGGCTTGTGGAAAATTGCTGCTCTTGGCAATTTTGCACCCTTCGGCTCGTTATGAGGGTTGCCCCAGTCCAGTAGCGACAACTCTTCAAAGGAGAAGAAGACACAGATAGTCCGGAGGCAATGAAAGGATGTTTCCAGAGGCGTCAGAATTGTGGAGCTTTGGGTTACTTCTCATCCTCAGCTTACGAAAGAGAATCCCTTACCGTTCTTTACACTTTAAACTTCACTGGTGGACACAACTGAAGTTCTTAGAGTCTCTCAAGCTTGCTGGGATTTTCTGTTTGGTCTTTGAGGATGTAGAATAGATGCTGTTTCCTCAAGTAGGGTAATATCGGTGACCAAAAGCAACAGTGAGTTCTAGAAGAAACTAAAAAAAAACAAACCAACTTGCCATCAAGTCAGTTCTTCTGACTCATAGCAAACCTTTTGAGTTTCTAGGGCTGTAAAAATTTTATGAGAGTGGAAAAACCACATCTTTCTCTTGTGGAGCAGCTGGTGGGTTCAAACTGTAGTCCAATAAGTCCATAATGCCATTCAGGCTCCCCCCTTGAGGGTAGGTATTAGATCTTATCTTTGGCGTGTTTCAGAGTACCCAGTGCACTGCTTTCTGTTGATTATCCAAAAACCCATTGTTGCCGATTCCAATTCTTAGATCCTATCAGATGAAATCGTGTGGCCCCATAGGATTTCCAAAGCTATGAATCTTTACTGAAGATGGACCTGTTGGGTAGATTTGAACCACCCACCCTCTGGTTTGCAACTAAGCATAGTAAGCAGTTTGCCACCAGGGATTCTTTCACACTGATTAGTGAGTGGCTCCATAAAAATGCGCCCTGATTACGGGTAAGCTGGTAAAGGCAGTTTTATACTTCAAAAGATGTCATATAAATTAAAAGTGGAGATTACTTCTTTTTGGAGGGTTATCCAAATTTCCAGTTTAGTAAATTTTTATATACAGAAAAATTGAAAGAAGAGTACCATAAACACTTGTGTGTATTCTTGAAGAGTTAGAGTTATTTATGACATTTTTTTCTTTTTTAGAGACAGCAAAATAAAATGTATTTCACGTAGTTTTAGAATGATATGCGATATATGTGTTTAGAATAATTAGAGAATTATTCAGTTGAAGAGAAATGTATGTCATATATTTTGCATTTATTGTCCAGTAGGTAGGATTGTTAGAGAAGTGAAAACATACATGCCTTTTATCTCTTTGGATACAAATTAAACAAAGATTGGTCTCAGGGCATAGCATGTAAGCATTTAGAGCCCAACATAGTAAACCATATGTTTATTTAGAAACAACACGAATAAGTATAGTGTTAGGTTAAATCTTAAGGTCAAGGCGCTCTCTTGAAAGTGTGGCTTTTAAATTTACATAGTAACTCACTTACAATCTACTTAATGGTATTTCCGATTACCTCCAAGTCCAGCAGATACTTTCAATTTCTCTTTTTATGTGACCGAATTATAAACCAGATCTATAAACTATACTATAAACTGCCTGTAGACCATAGCTTAGTTCACAGCGTTTCCTCAGTCTTTTTGATCATTATGTGTTATGTGTGGGATTCTTCTTTTTTTAACCTCAGATGAGTCATGCTTTTAAAAAGGCCAAGTATACACAATGGCCCACTATTAAATAGTAGTTTTAACAGGAAGAGTGATGGGATAGCAGTCCTAGTAATTATAGGAAGAGGCGTGAAAATGTAATCGAAAGATCGTGGAATTTTTCCACAGTCTGTTTGAAGGTCTGTGGCATATATGTGTGAGCTCTGGTGGCGCAGTGGGTTAGTTACACAGTTGCTGCTTAACTGCAAGACCAGCAGCTCTAAACCACCAGCCAATCCATGTGGAGAAAGGGGAGACTTTCGACTGTCCTATAGGAAGGATATCACTATGAGTCAGAAATGGCTAGATGGCAGTGAGGGCTTTTTTTTTTTCCCCCTGTGTAAGGTATAATTAGAAAATAGAAGAAAAAAGGGAACACGTTCCCTGGGTTTCTACCAAGTGAAGGTGTAGGAATGTCCAAAAAAGAAGATAATGTTCACTAAGATGAGATATGTAGTGATGCTTTATGTTGAGAGTAATTTGCTAACATGATAAGGAGTGTCTAGTATAACTGTGATGTTTATAATTTTACTTAGGTTTTTTTGTGTTTGTTTCATTAAAAAAAGTTTTCAATTTAGAAAATTTGAAACATACACTACAGGAGAATAGTATAATGAATACCTATGTACACATCACCCAGCCTCCTTCAGCTACCCTTACCGTACCCACTGTGTGCATGCGCTGACTTTGGGGCACTGAAATGTTTTCAAGGAAATCATAGACATTATGTTATTTCACTTAAATATGTCAATGTACGTCTTTTATAAAGACTGTTAGGAACCTAGAACCCAGTTGTTCTTTCACAATATTTACAAGCATCATGAAATATTTCTGAATTTCCTGGTACATTCTCTTGGCGTAGTGGATACCGGTTGGGCTGCTACCCACAAGGTCAGCATGTTGAAACTACTAATGGCTCCATGGGAGAAAGACAAAGCTTTTTACTCCTGTAAAGAGTTACAGTCTCAAAAACCCATGGGACCAGTTCCAGTAGGATCGCTCCGAGTGAGTCTGGTTTTTTGGTTTTCTTGGCGTGTTAGGTAGGTTCAGATGATAAATTTAAGGACCCTGCCTATTTTCATTGATGGAGCGCTGGTGGCATAGTAGTTACTCGTTGGGTTGGTAACTGCAAGGTCAGCAGTTCAAAACCACCAGTGGCCCCACGGCGGAAAGACAAGGCTTTCTACTCTTGTAAAGAGTTAAAGGCCCCCAAACCCCTGGTTGCAGGTCTGCTCTGTTCTGTGGCATCTCGGAATCAACTGAATGGCAGTGAGGTGCTTTTCTTTTCTTTTTAATTAGTCATTAGATACCCTGGTGGCACTGTGGATTGTACTTTGGGTTGTTAATTGCAAGGTCAACAGCTGATCCACAGGAAAAATGTGAGGCTGTTTCCTCCCTTAAATATTCATAGTCTCAGAAACCACAAGGGCCGGCCTTACTGTGTCCTATAGGGTTGCTGTGAGTGGGAATTGATTTCATAGCACTTGTTTTGGCCTGTGCTTGGTCTAAGTGCTGTGCAGAGTGACTGCTCTGCATAGAGGTAAGATGGACTGTTTCATGTGTCAAGGGGCTCTGATGGTGTGGTGAGCTGTGACTTGATCTGCAGACACTCCCTGGGAGAAAGTAACGCTGTCTCCATAAAGTCTTGGAAACCCTAAGAGCTTTTCTATTTTGTCCTGTGGGGTCGCTGTGAGTCAGAATTGGCTCGATGGCAGTGATTTTATTTTCTGTATAGAAAAGGAATGAGCATTTCGGCATTACAAACCATAACCTCTTTTCATACTCACAGGGGAATACTTTTCTTACTTTATTCCTAAACTTTAACTTAACTCAATGCTTGTGGTAGTATGCAACACTATCTTTGTCTTTTCAATACTTCTGATAGTCTTGTGAGATAAGGATAGTATTATCTTGTTACCTCAGTTGAGAAGATGTAGTAACTTGTCCAAAGTCATGCCCAGAACGTTCTCTGACTTCAAAGACCATCCTCTACCTAACATACCATGGGTGATTACAGCCAGGGAAATTATGATGTGACTGTTGAGAAGGCCAGGGGTGGTAAAACGGACACAACATGAAATGAGTTGCCTGAAAGTAGAATCCTCTTTTCTTCACTGCCAAGAACAATTGAGTGGCAGCAGCTCTTGTGCTTTAACGTA